GCCAGGGAGACAGCTCCATGGCATAAACATTTGCCTGGCAAGTGCAAGTTCTTGAGTTCAATCCCTGGTACCACACAACAAAACACACACAAAAAAGAATATGAGCAGAAGTAATAGCAGAAAACTTCCCAAATATGGGGAAACAATCTTATATTCAGGTAATTGAAGCATATAGAACTCCAAATAACATCAACCCAATTAAAACCACACCCAGACATATATTAATCAAGATCCTAGAAATTCAACATAGGAACAGTACACTAAAAGCCCCTAGAGAAATGAAACAGATCACATTTAAAGGAAAACCCATCAGTATAATGGTGGATTTCTCTTTACAAACCACCAAGTCAAGAAGAGAGTGGATCATGGAGCAAAGTACTACAAGTCTTACAAGAAAACAAATTCCAACTCAGAGTGAGAATATAAGAATATAAAAACTCTCTTCCACATTTAATGGAGAAGTGAAATACATCCATGACAAAGAACTAAAGAATTTCATGATGACAAAGCCAACCCTGCACAGATTATTAAAACATTCTATAGAGGGATCAAAATGATCACAACTCCATGAATGAGAACGGAAAGAACCCACCAAGGAGGGCAAACAATTAAACACAGCAGAAAAAGTGGTATACAACAGCAGTTTTTCAATGATTCCTTTATACACAGCAACAAAATATTTTCATAAGAATACTCTATGAAGGGACTTCTCCTGCATCCAATGTGTCATGAGTCTGTCTGAACCTATAGGGTGGATGTCAAGGAAGTAGCTCAGTTTCACAGATGACACCTGGCCACCAGTAAGCCTCAAGGACACTGTCTACACCCATGACAGAACTTCTTGCAACATCCTATCCCCAAATATTAGAAGTCCTGGTCATATATTTGCCATATCAGTATTTTTGTTACTTTTTTTTTTTGGTGGAACCGGGGATTGAACTCAGGCCCTTGCGCTTGCCAGGGAAGCGCTTATTCCACTGGGCCATCTCCCTGGCCCCGTTATGTTTTATTCTTAGTAATTCTTTACTATCATGAAAACTTTTTCTTAGTTGATATTTTTGTATATATTAACCTATTCAAATACTGTGTGAGTACTCTGAATTGATCACAGATTCATACATATGATACACTACATTCTGGACTCTTAGTTGGATTCACAATTTAATTTTAATTTTTGAATATTGTTTTGAAATATTTAATTTAATGTTGAGTTAATATTTAAATAATTTTCTGAGTATTGTTTAATTTTAATTTTTGTTTTATGATTTATACTGTGTCTTTGACTTACAATCTACTTATAAGACATGATATGATATTTTCTCCTAGTACTGGAAACTTTAAAAAGTGTATTTCCATTTTCTATTGACTTTATGTTAGTTCTTCCTTGTCTTTTTTACACACACACACACACACACACACATGAAAAAATGTATCTAAAAATATGAATCATATAAAGTAATTATTTTCCCTATAAATAGAGTTTAAGGGGCTGAGAAGGTAGTGTGGTGGCCTATACATATGCCTGTCAAGTGCAAGGACATGAGTACAATCCCTCGTAATGAAACTAGGTGTGGTAGTGCACACCTGTAATCCCAGCACTGGGGAAGCTGACAGAGGAGGATCACTGCAAGTCTGAGCTGCATAGAGACCCTGTACCAAATAAATATATAAATAAGTAAATATATGAATGATTAAAATGAAATTAAAAGATTAAGTTTTCTATGTCTAAATCAATATGGATATTTTAAGATACTTAATATACTCTTGGTTAAGCTTTCACATTAGGTTGAAAGGAAAAGGTTATATACTTTTAAGTATGTGGTTACTAAAAGTGAGCTTTAAAAAAAGTGGGCTTTAAGAGTGAAGGAGTATTTAAATGTTAACCTATTAAATGTTTTCAAGAATCAGTTTATGTTTGGTTGAGTAAACTACTATTAACTTAGTTTATGAGCACTTCTATATTTGGGAAAATATGTATGTATACTTCTGAAACACAAGATGTGCTATGAGTCTAAACTTTAAAATTAAGTTTTTAGAGTTAAGACTACAAATGTTTAATACATGCAAACTAACTACAGGTGCTGTCTTTTAAACAATATATATCTAGAGGGGGGCCTGGGAGATGGCTCAGTAGAATAAGCTCTTGCCTGGCAAGTGCAAGGACTTGAGTTCAACCCCTGGTTCTGGGGGGGGAAAATATAT